CGGCGCACGCCTTTAATCCCAGCACTTGGGAGGCAGAGCCAGGCGGATCTCTGTGAGTTCGAGGCCAGCCTGGCCTACCAAGTGAGTTCCAGGAAAGGCGCCAAGTTACACAGAGAAACCCTGTCTCAAAAAATAAAAAAATAAAAAAAATAGCAGATGACAAAGATAATTTGCTGAAAGACTTGTGAGCATAAGACTTGGTTCAGCAAAAACAAAGTCAGCTAGAGAAAGTGAGTTATCGAAACAAATTATTAGAAGCCATGCAGCTCCTGCTAACTTCAGGCAGGGGCTGAGGGAAAGGATAGAAGACCATATCTGATATTCTTTATTAAACCAAGAGACGATGTTGTTCAAATTGTTGTACCATGTAGAGAATACCTGTTACTAATACATTAAATACCCTCATGTACAAAGGGGGAAAAAATGCCATGGATGCTTACTACACACTTAGACCTGGGAAGCCAGTTTCAAGCTCCAAAAATGACCCTGAAAATATTTGTGTACTAGAAAATTCAATTGTTCATGAAATTTAAAACAGTCTTTCAATGCTGTAAATGTTCTTATTGATCTTGGCAAAGCATTGCATCAGGGACCACAGTTTTAACTCACAAACTGGGAATGAAGGGTTGCTGTGTCTTCATGTTAGATCCTTATGGCTTATAAGAAAGATTTGGGTCAACATCAAATGCTAACGGGCATCCAGAATCAACTTCAGATATTTGAAAACTGCTTTCTAGATTTGGAACTCTCTCGTAAAACATAATAGTTATTTTAACGTTAGGGACACTCCAAAATTCTTAAATCTGTATATAGAATAGTAATTCTCTTAAATGGATGGTTTTCTTTTCTCCTAAAACAAAATCTACCACAAAGTACAATAAAACTGGGTTTATAAACCATGTCAGTACAGGTAGCTCAAAATACTATTCTCTAGATTGAAACCTAAAATAATACCATTTTCCACTGACATTCATTACAAATAATAAAATTCAGCTAAAAATAAATCACAGTATTTTCATGCACAAATTTTCATTTTGGAAACAATAAAGTAAAATGTTTTAACATTCCTTTTTCCCATTAACTACATACTGCTATGACTTCATAATTCAAACCCCATAGTGAGCTTCTCATGTGATTGAATTTATACATGTAAATACTCATAAATATGTGTGTTTATATAAAAAAGCTACAACTACTTCTTACTAAAATGCCTATTGTTCATAGGACTTATAGACAAGCAAGTGTGTATTTAAACATGTAGTAGCTTGTACCCTGATAAATATGTTCTTTACAGCAATCATTTTAGAGCCCTAAAATTGATTATATGAAAAAAATGACCATTTCTGCCCTTGCAACCTTAAGTACCTCACATCCCTTGTGAGCCACCTCACTTGTACATCAATAGGAGCTCCACATGGGATCTGAGAGAAGAATTTTTCCCTGTAAGTGTAATCCATTTATTGGTTTATGGACCAAAGAACCTCTCGGGAGTGTTACAACTCATGAGCTTTCCTTGAGTGATGGGTTTTGCACTTGGATTTCTTATTTAATTGAAAGATGTGTAAAAACTTATGTATAAATAGAGTTCCCTGTTGGCTACACATTTCAAGAGTATCTCAAGAGTATAAATTATTCCATCAAGGGGTTGGAATAAATTATACTCAATAATTGGAATCAATTTTCCCTAGAGTAAGCACACACACAAAAAAAATTCCCATTAACATGGATAGAGGTTGCATATGAAGCATGAGATGAAACTATAATATCACCTACAGATTAGCTTTGTGTTCCTGAATAGCCAGGGAAGTAGTGCAGTGAGATAAGCCCACTCATATTGAACTATATCCTTTCGGGGTAAAGTCCTCATTGCATTTTGGATATGACACAGTGTCAGCAGATCAATAGCAGAGAAGAGAATGCAGCCATAAGTGTATAATCAGGGTGTTTCTAGCAGCCCCCTTATTAAATGACACTAGGATGGCTTGGTTCACACACATACACTTTATAGAGATTCTGGAAACCGCACAGTTAGTTGTGAAAGCACAGCCTATTCCTTTGAAGAAATAAAAGGTTAATCTGGCCAATGGAAGCCCTGTTAGCACTAATCAGCCATCAGGAACAATATAGCCAGTATTTCACTCCACTACCCTCTTCACACAGGAACACAGCAACACAGCTAAGCTTGTATATTTTGTGTACTTGGGCCCAGACTTCACAAGGTTCACATATCAGGGATGCCCCCTTCTAGCTGAATAACTGCATCAAACGCTGGTAAGAGTCTTGTCTACTTCACAGAGCTGCACAGATTCAACATGGTAGTTCGCATGCGGCACACGGTGATTGCCTGGTGCACAGCAATTACTGCTGGCAGCAGCATTAAGATGAGTAAAGGGGAAGCGGGCACCACTGTATAGACCATTCACTCTGAACTGAAGCTTCCTGCTCTTCCACTTGTTTACACAGCAGAGGCATCCTTCCAACTACTATTTGAATAACGTAAAATCCACACTGGTGTTTTCTGTGATATTCACTACATGTAAGCTAAATCATCCTGTGAATCAAGTAAATAATCATCTTTGTGCTGAAAAAAAAAACCGCACTTATAGCAAGAGTTCCAAAAATAGTTGATTCTGTACACTGAGTTTGGAAGCAACTATAATCACATTAAAAGCCAAAAGTGAGCAATTAGAGGATTTTGCTGTGTTTACAGTCTTCTTATGAAGAATGTATATTACAGCAGATGACTCATTTTCTCTACTAAGATTCTTGACCACATAATAAGGAAATTTTTTAGAAGAGGAAGGGAGAATATACCCTCATTCAGCTTCTATGGCAGAATGCAGTCTTCATTACCAAAACAGATGGGGGTCCTCACATGTTGAAGTCATGTTTAACCATATAGCTTGCATTGGCCAATGAAAGTCATACAATGTCACTTCTAGGTTGGTGCTTCATGAGGCAGAATGTGTTATACCAAATTATGTCTGTCCTTCTTCCATGGTTCTCGACAATGTTCTCAGATGGTGTTTGGAAAAGGGAAAATGATGCTGGAAGAGGAGTTCCTGGGACTCCACCATATCCAATGTAATTCAGACCTTTCCTCTGCAGTGTGCTCCTGATCTGTGATTGTAGCCACTTTTCTTCAGTAACAAACAGGAGGAAAAATATCACCAAAATAACCAGGAAACAAGTATGAACCGAGCACTTATTGTATACAAGGCACTGTGAGAGAGTCTATGGAAAATAAAATAAAATAAAAACTAAAATCTTTCTACCTTCAAAGGCTACTGAAATTACTGATAATCTCCTATGCACTAGGCATTTTGCTGGCTACCTTGTGTGACTGATTATCTAAGACCATAAAACAACTGAGGCAGATTTTGTCATTATCTCCACCTTAGACATAAGAAAGTTAGACTTGGAGAGAGTGGACTTCATTTTCTAAGGTCCTACAACAAAAAAATTAAGTTAGCCAACTTTCTGCTATGCTATACTTGAGATAATCAACTTACAAGGAGGAAAGATTCAGTTTGGCTGATCGTTTCAGTGATTGCAATCCAGGGTCCAATGGTTCCATTGTTTGGGGGTCTATGATAAGACAGAATAGCATAGTGCTGAGTGCATGATTGATTAGACCTATTTAGAGCTAGAGAAGATGTCTGAGCCAAGAAAGTGCTTACAGAGTAAACATGAGGATCTGAGTTAGGTCCACAGCAACTACACAATAAGCTGGTGTGGCAGCACATACCTCTTATCCCAACAGCAAGGATACAGGGACAAGTGGATCCCTGGAGTTCACTGGACAGCCTGTCTAGCTGAATCTGACAAGATCCAACAAGATACCTGTCAAAAGAGGCGGGGGGTGGGGGGAGGGTTGAGGGAAAGGGAGGAAGGAAGGAAGGAAGGAAGGAAGGAAGGAAGGAAGGAAGGAAGGAAGGAAGGAAGGAAGGAAGAAAGGAAAGGAAAGAGAGGAGAAAAAAGAAAAGAAAAAAAGCAGGAGTCACTGACTGAGGAAGACAGCCATTAACAGCCTCTGACCTCTACAAACACATGAACACACATAAAAACAATCACTCATATTAGATCATTTTAAAGCTACTAATGGCATAAGTGATGCAGAAAGGAGGAATGGGGGAAGGTGAAGGAGAAAGAGGAGAAATGGGATCTCAATACACTTTTCAAGTCCCCCATGATCTTCTGTGCATCAACTAGGCCTTGCCTACCAAGGTGTTTATCACCTTCCCAAAGTATCATCAGCTAAAGACTGAGTATTCGATACTCAGCCTTTAAAGGGTTTTTAATGAGAGTATTCGTTTTTTATTCTTTAACAACTTCATACATGTAACAATGTGTCCTAATCATATCTGCCCAAATTCTGCTATTTTCTTTAGATGCCTCCAATATTTCTCCCTCCCACTTTCATGTCTATTCTTGTTTTATGATCACTGAGTCCAATTAGTTCTGCTTACATATGCACTGGTGTGAACCCATCCACTGTAGTCACAGCTCTTAAGAAGGAATTACTTCTTCAGCGTCAGTCAACAGTTGACAACAGCTCCTCAGCTGGTGGTGGAGTCTGTGGACCTTTTTCCCATCTGTTCTGGCATGTTGACTGGCTTGATCTTATGCAGATCTTGTACAAGTCA